ACTTGAATGACATCTCAGTGTGCTCTGCAACAGAGGAAAGTGATAGTATCTACACCCGGGGTTGCGGTGAGGATCAAATGAGATGTCAGCTATTGTTAGAGGGTGAAGCGGGGCGCCCAAGAGGAGGCCAAGGAAACCACCAACAACAGCACTGGAGTCTCAGGGAGGGGTCCCTGGGCGAGGAGGCTCTGGACAGGGGCCTCGAAGGCTAGACAGGCTTTTCTGTTATTGTTGGATTTTTTTTGTTTGATTCATTGGGCTTTTGAGACGGGGTCTTGCTGTGTAGTCGGGCTGGTCTTGAACTTACTATGTAGTTCAGGCTGGCCTTGAACTCATGGTGATCCTCCTGCCTCAGCCTCCTGAGTGTTAGGAGAATAGTTCATGCCTGCACCCAGGTTTTCATTTCCCCTGGTAGCAGCTCTGTGAAGGGTGATACGATGTACAGATGAGGACGCTGAGATGAGAGAGCCAAGTCATGCCCTCCTGTGCCACAGGGACCGCTGAGCCTGGCGCTCACCTGCCACCTGGATGCCCAAGCGGCTCCAGCTCCTTCAGAGATGCGGTTCCAGCCTGCCACGGTCCCCTGACCCCGGAGCACCTGTGCCCCCATCAGATACGGGCCTGCTTTGCCCAGCAGCTCGTGAGACCCCACCCTGGCCTGTCCCCACTCCCAAGTCACCCCCATCGCTCTCGGTTCCCCCTGGCTGTGGTTTCCAGGTATGACGAGGGTTTGTTGTGGCAGCAGAGTAGGACGGGCACTCTGACAGCTGCCACATGTGCCCTGCGGAGCAGGCTGCCAGGGCTCACCACAGAGTGGGGGATGCCCTAGGGACGGCTCCTCAAAGGTGGTGGTGCCAGTGGGTGGCCTCTGGGAGAGAACTGACCCTGTATCCAACCAGAGCAGGATGGCAGCCTCAGATGGCTGGGCCCAGGGAGGCCATCAGGGTGAGCACACTCCGGCCACAATGGTGCCGGTCAGCTGCCGCAGGGAGCCCAACCTTCAGGGGCCTTTCAGAGCAATAGAGAGGCCGGGCGTGGTGGCGCACCCCTGTAATCCCAGCACTCGGGAGGCTGAGGCAGGAAGATCGCCTCGAGTTTGAGCCCGGCCTGGGCTCCATAATGGATCAAGGCCATGCTGAACTACATAGGGAGACCTTGTCTCACAAAACCAAAAAAAGAAAAAGGAAGAGAGAATGTGAGATGTCAGGTCCTTCAATGTCAGCATCTGGGTTGTTTGAACTCCAGGATTCGCAGTGCTGTGTGTATAAGGGACACCCTAGAAATATTGACAGAGAGGTGAGCAAATTATCAGGAGTCACACCAAAAGTTAGCTCTGTCTCCCATCCTTCCGGGCGCCTATTTCAGCCTGGCCCCTTGTCTCCCATTTAACTCGCCCTCCAACTTCCCCTCCCTCTCTTCCTCTCCTGGGACTGAACCCAGGGCCTTTACCCTGAGCTCCATCTCCAGTCCCTTTTAATCTGTTATTCCGAGACAGGGTCTCACTAAATTGCCCAAACTGGGTTTGAATTTGCAATCCTCCTGCCTCAGCCTCCCAGAGTGCTGCTATTACAGGTGTGCACCACCACGGGTGTCCAAACCACTGTTTATCCCTCCTACTGTCCCCTCCAGTTACCTGGTGAGTTCCTGGAAAGATCTGGCCTCATTGCCTGTCTCCTCCTCTCTGTCCCTGGCCCTACTTTCTCTTCTGCCATAGGGTAGAGTCTCGCTTCCCTCGCTACTGGCTCCTCCCAAGGTCATGACCTCCCGGCATCTGCTCCGCCTCGCCCGGGAAGCTGCTCCTTCTCTTCCCTTTTTGGACGTTTACTTCTGGTTTTTCTCGCCTTTTCTACGATTCTGTCTTTTTGTTCAGGCCTTTCCTCCATTTTTTATTCCCTCTCTCTCTTTTTTTCTTCTTCTTTTTTTCTCTCTCTTTTTTGGTACTGGGGATAAACTCAAGACCTTTGCATCCCTAGCCCTTTTTACTTTCATATTTTCACACAGGGTCTTGCTGAGCAGCTCGGGGTAGCCTCAAAGTTGCAATCCTCCTGCCTCAGCCTCCTGGGTGCTGTCATTCCCTGCCTGCACCCTGGGTTGGGTACAACGAGTTGTTTGTTTGTTTGTTTGTTTTTTTGGTACCAGGAATCGAACTCAGGACCTTGTGCTTGCTAGGCAGGTGCTGTGCAGCTGAGCCATATCCCCGGCCCAGCGAGTTGTTTCTTTAGCTTTCTGCGAGCACTGCACTCCTGGTCAGGGAGAGGACCCAGCCGAGACCTGCTGGTGCCCAGCCGCAGGGTGCTACAAGCACCTCCTGGTATTTTGGGCCCTCCGTGCCCCCTCACATCAGCCCTGCTGGCTTGTCATGGCTTGGCCTGAGCATTGCTTTCCCCACTCCAAACACGCATGCCCCTTCCAGTGGGCCTTCCCTGATCCCTATCTGACTCTGGCGACAGTCTTCTGTGTCCCTTACCATCCTGTACCCACCCGCAACACACCACCCTATGGCCTCTACCACCAGCCTGGCAGTTTGTTGAATGACTCACAGAGGGAAAATAAGTGTCCTAGAAATCCAGAAAGGTGTCCTGAAAGTTAATGCTCATAAGCGAGTACTGACAGCTTGGGAGCCGGAGACCGGCCTTTCACGGCTTTGCTATAAGGGCCTGGGCTTTCTTGCAGTTAAAGCGGACACCTGTGTACAGCATAAGACCGGAAGGGTGAAGAGACAGCATGTGCAATGGGAGAAAATTTTCACCAGCTGCAACTCAGACAAAAGGCTGATGTCTAGAGTATATAAGAACTTTTAAAAAGAACAACTCCCCAAATTTAAAGATCCAATCCAAAAGCCGGGAAATATCTATTCAACAAACTGCAAATAAATACATGAAAAAACGCTCAACAGCCCTGGTCATTCAAGAGCTACAGATCGAAACAACACTGAGATCCCATCTCACCTGGAAAGAATGGCTGTCATCAAGCTATCAGCCAATAACAAATGCTGGCGGGGCTGTGGGCAAAAAGGAACCCTTCTCCGCTGTCGGGGGGAGTTCACACGGGTGCAAGCACTGTGGAAATCAGTGTGGAGATTCCTCAAAAAACTAGGATTAGAGGTCTCATTTGATCCAGCTATTCCCCTACTAGGTATCTTGCTAAAAGAGTTAAAAGCATGATACCATGGAGATACATGCACATTTATAATCATAAAGAAAATGTGATATTTGCACACAATGGAGTACTATTCTGCTATAAAGAAGGACAAGCGAGTCATTTGTAGGAAAATGGATACACTTCGAGATCACAGTCTTAAGTGGGTAAACCAGACACACAAGTTTACACATGGCATTGTTTCTCTGGTGTGAGAAACTCAAAGAGCACATGATCAAAATAGAGGCGAAGTCAGGCGTGGTGGCGGACGCCTGTAACCCCAGCACTCGGGAGGCTGAGGCAGGAGGATTGCTGTGAGCTCGAGACCAGCCTGGGCTACAAAGTGAGCTCAAGGCCAACCTGAACTGCATAGCAAGACCCTGTCTCAAAAAGACAAAACAAACAAATGAAAACACAGAGGCTAGATACTGGGACACAGGAAGAACACGTTCAAATGGGAAGAGGAACAAGAGAGGGGAAGGGGAAGGAAGGGAAAAGGGGTTAAAAAGAGAATGAGAGGGAAAGGTGGAAACAGAGCTTTTGCAAAGGGGGGGGATGATTTTTTTTTTTTTTTTTTGGTTTTTCTCCGGTACCGGGAACCGAACTCATGACTTTGCGCTTGCCAGGCAGGCGCTTTGCCGCTGAGCTAAATCCCCAGCCCCAAGTGGGGGGTATGATTGCAGGGAGCAGAGAAAGAGAAGAAGACGTTCCGTGCACAGGTACAAATTCCCTGTGATGAATGTGATCACAGGCAAATACACACCCATAAACAACGAATACAGGACAGGTGAAGTCTCATCCTGGGAGGAGGTTGGGCTGAGGCTGCGGGTTCGGAGCAGGTGTAGCTGGCAGCCAGGGCTGAGGCTCTGGGCTTGTCAGGGTCGCTGGCCCTCAGCTCCGGAAGCCGCCCCCTCCCATAACGCAGCTGTCTGCATCACCGCCAGCAGGGGGCGCGCGCTGTTGAGGAAGGGCCTGGTTCCTCCGCAGACTGACCTTCACCCGATGAAGCCAGGCCCACCCAGGATTACCTTCCTTTGCGAAACAAAATCAGCTAATTGGGAACCCTAACTCCATCTGCAAAACCTCTTTTCTTTCATCATAAAAGGTAATCCAATGATGCCCAAGTCCTTGTGTACTTGAACGAGGGGATTAAATAGTGTGTATAGCAGCGGTCAGGGAATCTTGGCATTAGAAATTTGTTTCTCAAATACAGCTAGCAAGGGCAACTCCAGCCCACAAATACAATTTCTTTTTCTTTTCCCTTTTTCTCTTTCTTTCTTGAAGTACTGGGAATTAAACCTAGGGCCTCCACAATAAGCTACATTCCTAGCCCTTTCTTTACTTTGTATTTTGAGGCAGGGTCTTGCTAAATCACTAAGTTGCCCAGGCTAGGTTCCAATTTGTGATCCTCCTGCCTCAGCCTCCTACGGTGCTGGGGTTACAGGCATTTGCCACCACCCTTGTTCATCTTTCCCTTTCTTCCCTCCCTCCTTCTCTCTCTCTTTCTCTTTCCTTTTGAGATAGTGTCTTACTATGTTGTCCAAGCTACCCTGGAACTCCCTAGTTTAAGAAAGTCTCCTGCCTCAGCTTCCTGAGTAGCTGGGGTGCCACCATACCTGCATCTAGTCATTTTTATTCTGAAGTCCGTGCCTTTAATCCAGATGAAGCAAAGGGTACAAGAACTAAGAAACTGCTGTCATGGTGGTGCACACCCATAACTCCAGCACTCAGGAGGCTGAGGCAGGAGGATCACCTCGAGTCCAAACAAGACCATACAAAAGCAAAACCAACAAAACCAACAAACAAAAAATAAAACAAACAGACCCTTCTCATCCCCCCTAAGAAAGACACAGAGTCGGCAGTTGATGCTGCATCTTTTTTTTTTTTTTTTAAATTTTGCCTTCTGAAAGCAAGAGCTGAGCTGGTAGGGGAAGCGGTCTGGCAATTAAAAGGCCCAATGGCTTGGGCAGCAACACGGGGAGGCCAGGCAAGGAGGTGGGTGTGTCCCTCTGCCCCGGCCCAGGATCAGCTGCGAAGCCCGCACTAACTTCATAAAATATAAAACAAGTGAGGGGCAGGTCGGAGGGAGATTTGTAAAATACAATATCTTAGGGGCTTGGCAATAATAAAAAATAAGGTTCATTATTTACAAACAATTTCCGCTCTTGGTCTGTACAGGGGGGGCGGGAGTGAGGGGCAGTGGTCCTGTGGTCGTTCTGAGCGAGGGACAGTGGCCAGTGAGTGGTTTTGCTGAGGACGGATGGCTGTGGAGGGCAGGGAGTGGCTGGCCTGTGGGGAGAGTGTGGATGTCAGGGGCGGGGCAGGGGGACCCTCTCCTGGGGGACAGGGCGCGGCGGGGTCCGGCCGGTGAGCGTGAGAAGTCCTCTGTGGGCGCCAGGGGTGCGTCCTGTGTCCTGGTCTCGGGCGCCTAGGAGAGCTGCAGGGTGGTGTTGGGGCCCAAGTCCCTGCGGAGAGAAAGGGCAAGGCTGATAGTCCCCGCCGCCCCCGCGATTTCGGGGCGCGCGGGGCCGGGCAGGGAGCGACTGCCCCACCTGTCCTGGAACCAGTCCTCGGCGTGGGAGAAGTCGGGGCTCGAGCCATTGCCCCCGACGCCCTCGGGCCAGGCCTCGCCCAGGTACTTGGTGGTCTCGTGGGTGCCGTCCAGGTGGTCGCGCTGCAAAGGGTCCTGGGGCCGAGGTTCCGCTGGTCCGCCGGGCGGGACGTCCCAGCCTTCCGGGGGCTCCACCGGCAGCAGCGCGCCGCGGCCGTCCTCCCACGAGCCGGCGCCCTCCTCGTAGAACAGCAGGCTCCGGGAGGGCACTGGGGAGGGACGGTGGGCTGACGGGGGCACCCTGGGGTCCACCCCACCCCTTTGGCCATTTCCTGGTCGTAGTGAGGGACAGCGCTGTACAAGCGTTCGGACCTGGATATAAACCCCAGCTCCTGGGCTGGTCGCACACTTTGCTTTGATCTTTCTGAGCCTCAGTGTGCTGAACTGGGAAATGGGGACACTAAGGTCAACCTGATGTCATGTACATGCATAATAGAGGCCAAGGGATCAAACCTGTTTAGTGAAACAGCTCCGATCACTTCCTAAGTAGAAGGTTGGCTTTGGGGACCTGAGACCCCTGTTCTTTATGTTTTTGTTCTCTTTTTACAGACTGGGGATCAAACCCAGGGGCTCGCACATTCTAGGCAAGTGCTCTACTGTGGAGCCACATCCCAGTTCTTTTTATTTTTAATTTTATTTTCAGACAGGATCTTGTTACATTGCCCTGGCTGGTTTCCAACATGGGATCCTCCTGCCTCAGCCTCCTGAGTAGCTGGGGTTACAGGTGGGCTCCACAGCAGCCAGCTGAGTTCTAATCTCACCACAGCCACTTCTAGGAGCCCTGGATAAAGTCTCTTCCCCAGTTAGGCCCAAGTTTGCCCTTCAGAGAAACCAGTGGAAAGAAAACAAACATTCACAGGACATCTGTATGCCGAGCACACAGCAGGCCCTTAAGCCTGATCACATTATTGCAATCTGACAGGCTTTTGGGAGTGGCGTGTTTTCATTTATTTGTTTGTTTTTTGAGACGGGGTCTTTCTGTGTAGCTCAGGCTGGTCTTAAACCCAGTAGGTAGCCCAGGTTGGCCTCTAATTTGTGTCATCCTCCTGCCTCAACCTCCCAAATGCTGGGATTACGAGTGTGCACCATCACGCCTGGTTGGGGAAGAGGTCTGCTTTGTCTCTGCCTCACAGAGCAGGTGACCAGGGCTCCCGGCTACCCCGTAAGCTGTCTCTTCCTCGTCCTTGCTGAATGCAGATCCGGCCGCAATCTCCCAGACCTGACAGGAACAGGCGGCTCTGGAACTGTGCAAGACCCTGCAAGCTTTCTTGTTCTCGGTGTCAGCGGCTGTCACGCTGCCCCCACTTCCTCTTCCCAAGCCTCCCGCGCTTCCTCCGCTCAAGGCCCGGCCCTTGCTGTCCTCCGGGCCATCCTTCCTTGTGGACGCTCCCTCCTCCCATCTCCTTTCTCAGGGTCCATCTGTTTCCTCTTCCTCCCACCCCACGCCAGATCCTGCTCCCGGGAAATGAAGCCAGGTCATCTGGAAGCTCCTCTGCCCTTGCCTCTGCAGTTGCCCGGGTTGGGCCTGAACTTGCAGTCCTCCTGCCTCAGCCTCCTGAGTGCTAGGATTATAGGTGTTCACCACCACGCCCCGCTGGGGACGGCAAATAGCTGAGCCCAGCCACCCTGTCCAGGCTGGACGTCACCAAGCCTTAGGACCCATCAGCACGGTGCTTCGGGCAGCCATACCCCCTCCTCAGCGCCCCCCACTAGAGAGTCACAGACCCTCTCTGGGCCTCAGTTTCCCCATCTGCAGAACGAGGCGGGACAAGATGATGCCAACCCCAAACACAGCCCCGCTTTGGGATGGGGCTTGGAGGGGAGGACTCACTCTGGCTGGCGGTGTAGATGCTGTCGGTGGCCACGGGTTCTCCCGTCACAGTCTGGGAGCTGGAGGAGAACTCGGGAAGGCAGGGCACGAGCGAGCCCAGCACCAGCACGAAGCACAAGGCTGCCACCTGGTCGAGACAGCGGCGGGTGGCGTGAGCCAGGGGGCGGGGCAGTACAGGGCTGTGCTGACGCTGCACCCCCAGGAGTCTCAAGCTTGCCCAAAGCGGCTCCCGGAGCCAGCGGCCCTGGACCTGGGATCCCCCAGCTGCTCTGGAGCGGGGGTGGGGGGCGTGGGGCTGGGGGGCGCTGCCCGGGCCACCCAGTGGTGGTGGGGTGGGGCCAGGAAGGAGCAGGAGGCAGCATGTGTGGCTCAAGCCAGCGAGAGCCCAGGCACTGAGGACAAGGAGCCCCAGCTAGGCCTTGTGTGTGAGCACAGCCCTGAGCCGGACCACACCTGGGTTTCTTTTCTTTTCTTTCTTTCTTTTTTTTCCCCGGTACTGGGATTCAAACTCACAACCTTGCGCTTGCCAGGCAGGCGCAGTACCGCTCAGCTAAATACCCAGCCCCCTTTTTTTGTCTTTTTGAGACAGGGTCTCACTAAGCAGTTCAGACTGGCTTTGAGCTCACTTTTTAGCCCAGGCTTGCCTCAAACTTGGAACGATCCTCCTGCCTCAGCCTCCCAAGTGCTGGGATTACAGGTATGCATCACCATGCCCGGCTCTTTCTTTTCTTTTCTTTCTTTTTTGGCAGTACTGGGGATTCAGGGCTACTTTGTACTGAGCTATATCCCGACCCTTCTTATTTTGCGACAGGGTCTCTTAAATTGTTAAAGTTGCCCAGGCTGAGCTCAAACTCAAGATCCTCCTGCCTCAGCCTCCTAGAGTGCTGGGATCACAGGCCTGCACCACCACACCCAGGTTCTTTTGGGTTCTAGGCTTTTACTCAGCCATCTCCCCCTTCATCCATACTCCCTGCATCTCCCCAAGTCCTTCACCCCATAGGATCTGCAGAAGTGGCCTCCCCAAGGGACCTGCCACTAGCTGGGCTCACTGGTGTCACCTACGCAGCCACGCTGACACAGTGGAACTGTGCAAGGCTCTGCAGGGACCAGTTTCCCTGGGGTGACATCACCCCTGACACCACCACACCCTCAGAGCTGTGCCCCCGACCCCGGAGCTAGGGGAGGGAAGAGAGGGACGAGGGTCCCGCGCTGGCCAGGGCGGCGCCTACCATGAGGCAGGTCCCTGTCTGAGTGGCTGCCATCTTGTATGGTCTGGAGATCTTGCTGGTGACCAGGCCCTGGAGTTTCTGCAGCTGCTGGAGCAGGTTCCTGAGGAGGGCAGAGTGGTCACTAGAAGGCCCAACCCTGCAGCCGCCTCTGCCTCCTGGGCCTCCCCTGGGGGCTGGGCCGCTTCCGGCCTGGCCTGAGCACCAGGAGCCTGGTTCCTGGTGGCTCCTGTGGGGTGGGGTGTGGCCACCTCAGGAAGCTCAGGGGCACCCAGGATGCAAGTGGCCAAGGCCAGCCTTCTTCTTTTTACTCTTTTATTTATTTATTTATTTTTTTGCGGTATTGGGATTGAACCAGGACCCTAACACCAAACTACATCCTCAGCCCTTCTTTATTTTTATTTTTAAATTTTGAGATAGTGTCTCACTAAGTCACTAAATTGCCCGGGCTAGGCTTGAGCTTGGTGATCCTCCTGCCTCAGCCTCCCCAAGTGCTGGGATTACAGGTGTGAGGCGCCATGACTGCCTGGCCTTCCTTTTCTATACCAACCTCCATCCTTAGCACCCTAAACTGGTAAGAAGGATGTGTATGGCACAGGGCCTGGTACATAGGTCCCATAAGTGATACCCGTTTTAACGTATGTATGCCTGAAGTGAGCACAGCAGTTACTGTTTGTTAATTTTGTTGATTTTTTGTTGTGATCCTAATACCCATAGTGCCTCATCTACTTATGGATTTCCTTTTTTTTTTTTTTTTTGGTCTTTTTGAGACAAGGTCTTGCTATGCAGTTCAGGTTGGCCTTGAGCTCACTTTGTAGCCCAGGCTGGTCTCGAACTCACAACGATCGTCCTGCCTCAGCCTCCCGAGTGCTGGGCTTACAGGCGTGCGCCACCACGCCCGGCTTACTTATGGATTTCCACATCAGTCTCCATTGCTCACTGTGGGCTCTCTATGCGTATCCCTCCCAGCGTGGCATCCTCTCCTCCACGCAGCCAGGCTGGTGCAGTTCCCAGAGTGAACAACAGGTGGCGAAATAGCGCCTAGGACCCGCCCTATCTCCGGCCTTGGCGTGCGCCGAGAAGGCTCCACCCCACGCTGGCGGGAGCGGAGCTGGGGGGCGGGGGGAGGAGTTTCTCGGCCAATCAGCGAGAAGCCGCGGTCGAAGGCGGAAGGGAAAAAGGAAAGTCTGGCATTAGGCTCCTACTGTATACCAGGCAGTCGGCTGTGCCATTGGCATGACGCAGGTCATATATCTGTCGCAAATACTTATTAAAGACCTAGGTGGGGTCCCAGCTGGGCCCCATCAAGAATTCACAATAATAATAATAAAAGAAGAAAAACTAGCATTTTATGAGTTGAGAATTCTTAAATACTAAGCACCACGCCGGACCCTTGAATTGCACTCGTAGAATCCTCACATCTATCTTGTGAGATACTGCGCTTGTCATTTCCCCGCAGACAAAAAAACAAAACAAAGAAACCTGGGGTCCACCCGGACATGGGGGCACATTTTGTAATCCCAGCTACTTGTGAGGCTGAGGGAGGAGGATTGCAAGTTTGAGGCCAGCCTGGGGCAATTTAGCCTGTCTCAAAAATAAAGTAGGTATGGTGATGCATACCTGTAACCCCAGCATTCGGGAGGCTGAGGCAGGAGGATCCCCGGGAATTTGACCCGAGCCTGGGCCACACAGTGAATTCAAGGCCAGCTGGTACTACATAGCGAGACCCCATCTCAGAAAACAAATGAAATGAAACAAAAGGGCTGAGGATGTAGCTCAGTGCAAAGGCCCTGGGTTCAACTGCCAATATGGCAACAAACAAAACAAAACCTAGATTTATGGGCTGTACTGCAGTAGGTTTTGATTCAGTCCACTTGGATTAGAGTCTAAGAACCAACCGTTCCCCGGGGATATAGCTCAGTGGCACGGTGCTTGCCTGGCAAGCGTGAGGGCCTGAGTTCGATTCCCAGCACCAAAAAAAAAAAAAAAAAAAAAAAAGAACCAACCTTTCTCTCTGTCTCTTTCTCCCTCCCTCTTTCTTTCTTTTTTCCTCTCTCTGCTTTCAGACAGGGTTCTGCTGTGTGCCCTGGGCTGGCCTTGGACTCCTGATCCTCCTGCCTCAGCCTCCTGAGTGCTGGGATTACAGTGTGCGCCCCCATGCCTGGTGAGAGTCTGCACTTCTAACAAGTTGTCAGGCAGTGCTGGCTGGCGGATGACACGTGGGACGCTTCTGCTCTGCCCTGCCTCCCTTTTGCATGTCACCAGCCCGGCACTTGTGCGCATCACGGGTCCGTCCGTGAGGGAGCCTGGGAGCTGGGGCAGGGCAGGACATAAGTGGTCCCAGCTGCAGGGTCTAATTTCAGGGGTCCCTGGAACTCTCCTCTTTCCTGCTGTGCAGAGTGGGGACATGGGCGGCGGCACCCACCTGTTGGCGTTCTCCAGGGTCTCCACCTTCTTCCACAGCTCGTTGTTCTCCGATGTAAATGTCTCCACCCTGGAGGGGCCAGGTGGGCACAGGCTCAGGGCAGCCCCGGGCTCACCCCTGCCCGCCGCCCTGTTCCCCGCACCGCCTGACTCTGGTGGCCAGCGACAGAGGATGGGGACAGCGGGCCACGCTTCGGGGACCTTACTTCTTTTCCAGGCACTCCACGTATTCCTTCTTCTTACGGCGGCTCTCCTGGGCTGAGATCTGGCGGGGTGGGAGCAAAACAGTTACCTCCGCCACAACTCCAGTTCTGGGGGCCCGATTTGGGGCAGGTGTCGCTCCGGGACCCAGGCCACACCCCCTGGGAATGCCCCGAAGCCCAGGGTGGGTCCAGCGCTGCGCAGCCTCTACCTTGTTCTTGATTTTCCTTCGCACCCGCTTCAGCGCCTTCTCCTCTGCCTTGCTGAGGGGCAGTTTGGTGGGGATGGGGTAACCCTCGGCAATCAGGGTGCGCTTCTCCTCCTCGGTCAGGAGCAGTGGCCCGGATGTCCCCTGTAATTTCTGCAAGGAGCAGGACACGGGGTTAGGCCCCAGGCAGCCCCAGGTTCAGAGTCAAGGGCTGTCACGTGCTGTCTGCATGCTCAACCCTCTGGGCCTGTTTCCTCCTCTGAACAGGGGGCAGATCTGAGTTGTACCCAGTGACAGCAGCAAGTCCAGGTCAGGGTGCTGGGAGCCCAGCAGGGTCCTTTCCCTGGGGCTCAGGATGCCCAGCCCAGTCCCGGCTCTGCAGCAGTGTGGGCTGCCTCTCTCTGCCTCAGTTTCCCTGGCACCATGAGATAGGGTTAGAGGAGTGTCAGCGCCATCTGCCGGCCAGATTCGGCCAAGGTCCGGTCTTTGAATTCTCATGACCCTCCCCCGGGTCATGAGCTTTGGGGATTGACTCAGTTTCCCTCTTCCAGGGCCAGCCCACCCCCAGCTCCTTACGTGTGGGGCGGTGAGGAGCGGGGAAGTGGAGATGGCATTGGAGGAGCGGGCCATGGGCCGGACAGGGCTGGAGGGGGGCAGCGAGCGGGGACTCTGGGAGCCATCGCTGTCGCTGCCGTGGCTGCTGGGCGGCGTCGGAGGCATCTGTACCAGGTCCTCTGGGAAGAGAGGGGGCCGGGTTAGCAGGCGGACATGAGGACGGAGCTGAGACATCAGGCATTCAGCTCAGCATGGAAGGAAAGGGGGCCTGGCCCATGGCGGTCATATCAGAAGCCCCTCTCAGACCCAGGACCGCACTGGGGCCCAGCTCCCTGCAGCCTGCGCCTTGGTGTGGGTACCACAGAGGCGGGGTCTGCCCCCGCCCCTGGCTTCAAAAATGCTGGTATTTTGTTCCCCTTTTGCCTCTTGTTTTGGAGAGAGTGTCTCACAGTGTAGCCCAGGCCAGCCTTGAACTAGCCACATAGCCCAGCCAGGCCTCAAACTTGCGATCCTCACGCCTCAGGCTCTCGGGTGCTGGGATGGGTGCTGGAATTACAGGTACGTCACCATGCCTGGCACAAAGACTTGGGCCCTTTAAGCCTCAGCTCTACAACCCCAGACGGTGACTGGGGTCTCACACCAGACCCGGGGTGGGGGTGACTGAGCAAGCAGTCTTCTCCCCCTTCCTTCTTCCACCCCAGAATATCTTGCCATCACCCAGGGAACCTACGGTTCCCATTTCCAGTTTCAGGGTAAGAAGCAAGGATTGTAATTTCAGAGGAGCAGAGAGGAGCCCGGCCTCCTCCTCCACACTGTCCTCCATGCTGTCCCCTCTGTGGCGATGGGCCAGGAAGGCCAACAGTCTGTAGGGTTAGACTGCCAAGGACAGCCCTCGGGGCAGCACAGAGCGCAGGTACTTCCGGGCGGAGACCCAGCCGGCGTGGGGCGGGCACCGTCCTTCCAGGCTCCGCGCAAGGCGGCTCTTGCGGGAGTCCTCTCCTTCCTTTTGACATTTATTTGCCTCTTCTGGATACCACACTGCAAAGAGCACTGGACTTGGAACCAGGGAGGCCAAGGCCAAGTCCTGACCGTGGCATCTCCCAGCTGTGTATGTAACCCCTCCCGGCCTACTCTCCTTGCCTACTGAGTGGAGCAGGAAGACTGCTCAGAGCCATGAGAGTGTGACGCGCTACTGTCTGTGAGAGGCTTTAGGAACGAAGGCACCGGACAGCTACGGGGCTAACACGAGCCCCCTCTCACGCCTGCGTCCTGTCTGCGGGTGCCATTAGGGTGAAACTGGCCCGGTCACCTTTGTAGGCCTTGTGCACCTAATTCAGAGCCCGATGCACAGTAGATTCTTTTTTATCATTATTATTTTTTTCTTTTTTCTTAATCAGCGTTTGAGAAATTCTTTTCTTAATCAGCATTTGAGAAATTAATGAGGCGGGACTCCAAAGGTTCTGCTGCTCTTTTGATGTCTGGCCAACACTAAGAAGCTCTCTATGTCCCCTTCTTCCTTGGCTGGTCTGGGGATGAGCTCCCAAGGCTCACTGAGGAGTTGCCATCAGCACTCCCGTGTCACTGCTGGGTCACTGGTAGTTTGTCTGTGACCCTGGGGATTCTTGTGATCTACTTGGGTATAAGTACTGTCTTCTCTCTGCTTCCCCAGTGCCTGGAACTGGGAGATGCTGCCTAGTGGACTCTGGGTGGGTGGGTGGATGAATGGATGGGTAGATGGTTGGGTGAATGGATGCACAGTTGAGTGGATGGATGGTTGGGTGAATGGATGGGCAGTGGGATAGTGGGATGGGTTGTTGGATGGGTGAATGGGTGGATGGATGGTTGGAAAGATGGACGGATGGTTGGGTGGACGGAGGGGAATTGGGATGGCTGGATGGACGGTTGGATGGATGAGTGGATCCATGGGTAGATGGATGGGTAGTGAGATGATTGGATGGTTTGATGGATGGATGGATGGATGGATGGAAGGAAGAGTGGAAGGATGCATGGTTAGATGGATGAGTGGATGGATGGTTGGATAGATGGGTAGTGCAATATCTAGATGGGTGCTTGGATGAATGGACAGTGGGTGGCTACAGAGTGGGCTTCAGTTAGTGAGTTGATTGCAGGAGGGTTAGCAAAGGGGTAAAAGGATGTTGATATAATGATGGAAATCATAGGCCGAGTAAGGGGAGACTGGAAGAAAAGAGGGAGATGGATGATGGAGAGTAGGTAGGGGTGAGAGGAGATGATACTTAGGGGAGAATTGGGGAATTTCAAGGATGGAGTGGGGCAGGCCAAGAGGGAAGGTGTGTCTGCCTAGGACTTGAGGGGAAAAGGGCCTTTCCCTGGACACACTCACCTGGTGTCACTTTGAGGAACTGGTTCACCTCCTGGGGCTCTGCTTTGATCACTGGCAGCTGAGTCATCTCTCCTGGAGCCTGGGGAAGGACAGGCCCAAGTCCATCAGCTGTCCCTGGGGTGGTCCCCATCAGCCCACCCATTCCACTTTCCTCCCTGAGGCTGGAGATCTGCCCTGCCGTCAAGGACATGGCCTGGCTTGGGGTTCTGGACACAGCCCAGAGGGGACAGAGGCGAACTCTCACGCCACACTTAAGAGGACAGTATGTGACCAAGGACATACTGTCCTTCCGCTCGGAGCAGGGCTTCCTGTGGCCTCCTCCTTGGTGGAGGTGGACCCTGTTTTGTGAAGGTCACCTTGGCTTTGGTATATGGATTGCCCTGAGGACCAGAGGTGATGTTTGGCTGTTATGCTTTAGTTCTAAAGTGTCCCCTAAAAGTCTCATGTGTTCAGAGGTGGGCTTCTGCAAGGTGACTGGATCATGGGGATGCTATACTCCTCAGTGGATCCATCCGTGGATGAGTGAGTTAGCAGGTGGGTGGGGCCTGGTAGGAGGAGGTGGGCAGCAGGGGCCGTGGCCTGGAGAGTGTATTCCTGCGCCGGCTCTTGGGCTCTTCGCTTTTCCTTCTGCTTCCTGACTGTCACGGGGTGAGCAGCTTCCCGCTGCAACACCCTGCTACCACAGTTTCTGCCTCGGAGTTGGCCAACCATGGACTGCACCCTCTGAAACCTCTGCTCCCTTCAGCCGAGGGTGTTGGGTATTTTGTTCCAATAATGGGAAAGCGACTAATACGCTGGCATCCTAAAGCTGTCCAATGCCTGAGGACATGGCGGGGAACAGCACAGAAGGAGGGAGTCCTTGGCTGCAGCTCAGTTCTGCGGGAGAGGTAAGAGTAGAATCCAGAGAAAGGACTTGGAAGCAATGAGAGCCCCTGATGGGTTTTAGGCAAGGGATGCTTGGAGTCAGATTTACATGTTTAGTAAGTGTATGCATTTCTATTTCCATTCCAGCTTATTCGGGAACACACGTGTTTCCACATACGTGACACCAACGTGCATGCAAGTGGTGGTAATTTTGGGTGCTGGATTTGAGGGCCATCTCTTCCTGCTGGATCTGTAGCCCGCATAGAGATTGTCCTGTTGTGGGTGGGACACAGAAGCCTGAATACAGCAAGTTCAGGCTGGCCTTGAACTCACTGCGAGCCTCCCGCCTAAGCCTCCCGAGTGCGGGGATTAGAGGTGTGCACCACCACGCCCGGCTGCTGGGAGGTAGCCCAGTGTGTTTCCATCTCAGAGCCCTTGTCCAGGCTGCCCCCGGCCCTGCTTTCTGCATATCGGGAGGACCTAACCTCACTCTGAGGCTGCTGTGATGCATACCATCACCTCATGGCGAATGGGCAGCCAGGCGGAGGCAGAAGTCTGCTCTGGGGTTTCCAACCCTCCACCTGAGGGCTACAGTGGCCTCCTGTTCACGCCATCCCGTGGACCTGCTGGGTCCTCCCTCAGCCCTCCCTCGTCCCCGGGCTCACCTGGTGGGGGATGGGCAGCCTGGACAGGGGGCTGAGGCTCAGCAGCGGGGTGGTGGCCATGGTGGCGGCAGCCGCGGCAGCCATGGCGGAGGAGGCGGCCAGCGGGTCCACGGGCAGCTCCAGGCTCTGCTCCTGCTTCACCATGATGGAGCAGAGTTTGTGTCCCAGCGCCCACGCTCCGTGCTCGTCTGAGGGAAGGGCAGGACCCAGGCTCAGGGGACTCCCAGAGCTCTGTGCTCAGCCTCTCCTGCCTGTGGGCGCTGCCCCAGGAGAGATGCTAGGGTACCCGGTGGGGAGAGAGGGACAGGGGGAGGCCCTGGGAGGTGAGAGGCCAAGGCATCTTCTGCATCTGGACACCGGGGCTGGATCCCTCCCTCCTGACTGGGTGACCTGAGGCAAATTGCTTACCCTCTCGGAGCCCTGGCTTCCTAATCTTTCAAATGAGGGAAGAAACAGGCATCTCACTGGGAGGTTTGGAGGATTATGTAACATAATGCACAGAGCCATTTAACCCAGGCCTCGAAGATGAGCCAGAGTTGTGACTTTATCCAAAGGTGATGAGCAGAGGCTGAAGGTGTTTTTTTCCCCCCGGGGCAGTCCTGAGGATTGAATCCAGCCCTCTGCACCGAGCTACATCCCCATGGTGGCACACACCTATAATTCCAGCACTCAGGAGGCTGAGGCAGGAGGATCACTGGGAGTTCAAGGCCAGCCTCAACTACCTAGTGAAACTGTCTCAAAAAACCAAAAAAAAAAAAAAAAAAAAAAAAAAAAAAAAAAAAAAAAAAAAAAAAAAAAACCAAACAAAAAAACCCCCAATTTTTCTAGACAGGTTTTCTCTAAATTGCCCAGGCTGAGTTCAGACTTACTGTCCTCCTGCCTCAGCCTCCCAGAGCACTGGTCTTAGGCTCACTAGGCCACCACACCCAGCCCCGAATTAGTGATTTTTAAAAAGATGGCTCTGCACTTGGGGACGGCCCTGTCCGGACAGGTGGGGAGGCTGTAGGAGCTGCTGAAATAGATCACCAGCTGCTGTGTGCAAGAGGCTGAGGCGGAACAAGGCAGCAGGAATGGAGAGAAACAGTTAGCAGGACCCACAGGACCAGACAGGGACTCCGGGTTGGAGGAGGTGATGAGTGACTACCCACAGACAGAGTCCACCTCCTGCCCCCTATGAGGTCTTCCTGCCTCGCCCTGCTGGGGTTGCCCTTCCAGACAAGTGTGAACCCTGGTGAGCCCTGTGGGGGCAGCGTGGGGCCCGTGCAGCCAGAGAGGAAGGGCCTGAGGGGCTTTGGGGCCGCTGTGGGTGGGAGAGGGGTCAGCGGCTCCCAGCTCAAGCGCCACCTGCTGGGAGCCCCAGGGCCGGCTGTGGGACACCCACAGTCTTCCTAAATTACGGGGCGGGCCACCAGCCTCCCTCCCTGCAAGCTGCCTCCATGAAGGCCTTCAGACAAATTGCTTTAAAAACAGACTTGGCAGCCGGGTGTGGTGGCGCTTGTCTGTCCTCCCACCACTGGGAAGGCTGAGGCAGGAGGATCGCTGCGCATTTGAGGCCAGCCTACGCTACATAGTGAGCTCCTTTCCCCCAAAAATAGACTTTGGGTGGCAGAGGAGCTCCTAGGCTGGCCTAGCAGAAGCGCATGGAGAACCTGGCATAGGAGGGCTTCCCTGTGGGAGGGGAGCAGGGCTGCAAGGCCTCATCGACTGCAGAGGCTTGGGCAGGCCGAAGCTCCAAAGTGTCCTGCCGCACAGAGGCTGGGCACCCCGGGGCCACCTCATCTCCAAGCCCGTCACTTGGCTGGCACTGTGGCTGTCTCCATCTGAGATGGGGATAATGAACAAACTCACACAGGGTCACAGCCCCTGCAGGGGACGAGAAGCCACGCAGAGTATTAACGGGGCTTTAGTGTACACGAGGAAAACGAACGCTGGGGGTTGATATATACCTGTTGCGTGCCGGCTGCTGAGCTGGGGGCTTTATGTACATATATTTAATCCTGTCTGGACCTTTCAAGGCACCTTTTTAAGTTTTATAATTAAAGAAACAGAGGCCCAGCGAGGTTAAGAAGCTTGCTCAGTGTGTCATCCAGCAGCTAGTGCAGGCACCCAGATGACATGCACCAAGGCCTGTTAGGTTCCCAGCGCCCGGGGCCTTTGCCCTAAACTACATCTCCAGCTCTTTGTATTATTTCTTCAAAATATTTCTGAGACAAGACCTTCCTGCCTCAGCCTCCCAGAGAGCTGGGATTACAGGGAGCCATACCCCGAGCGGGTTGCTAGGTGGCTCCTCTGAGGGCTCAGGTCCTTTCTGGCCTGGGCCATCCGGGGTACCGCCACCTCTCACCTTCCGTGGTGTCCTCCATCTTGATGGGCACCAGTGGGCTCTGAGGCGCGGAGTCTCCACTCAGCGAGTAGCTGTGCTCGGCCTGAATGCCTGGTGCCGGGGGGTCCAGTTCCATGTCCAGCAGGGGGCTCTTCTCGTCCAGTGCTGGGTCATCGAAGAAGCTGCTGAACAGGTCGTTGGAGAAGTCATCCATGTTCTCCACGAAATGGTCCAGCTGCTCCGGGAAGTGCTGTGGGGCAAGGTGCAGGGGACAGGCTCAGCGTGGCCACTTCCTCATCATATTTCCCTGCTGCGGTCCCCACCAACCTCCCAGCCAGCACCAGCTCTTGTCTGGCCTTGAACTCATGGCCTAGCCCAGGCTGGTCTCAAACTCCTGGCAATAGTCCTGCCTCAGCCTCCTCAGTGCAGGGATTACAGGCATGCACCACCACGCCTGGCTTCCAAGCCATTCTTTTTTCTTTCTTTTTTTCTGGTACTGGGAATTGAACTCACGACCTTGCACTTGCCAGGCATGCACTGTGCCACTGAGCTAAATCCCCGGCCCTCCAAGCCATTCTTTATACCATAAGCTTGGGCTCTTGGGTTCTGATCCTGGCCTCTAGCTATGACTCAGGGCCGAGCAAACTGTAGATGGTGACTCATGAATGGGTTATGAAATCAACGTAGTGGGTCACAGGCAGAATTTTAAAAAATGTATTTTTAAAATTTTTACTTGACACATACTAATTATCCATATTTATGGGGTACAGTGTGACATTTCAATACATGGATGTGATGTGTAATAACTAGATTGGGTAATCCACATAGCCGTCGCCCAGAGCATTTGTCATTTCTTTGTGTTAGGAAGACTGAAAATCCTATCTACTAGTCATGTTGAAACAGACAATTGCTCAGGAAGCTGAGACAGGAGGATTGCTGCAAGTTTGAGGCCAGCCTGGGTTACACAGTGAGTTCACAGTGAGTCTGAACTCCATAGTAAGACTCTGTCTCAAAAGACCATTAAAAAAAATCTGACAAAATCTTGGTTTCTACGATCTTGAGGAGGTTACTTAAACTGTTTCATTTCATTCTCTGTACTGTGGGGTTAGTAATAGTTCCTACCTGCTAAGTTTGTTGCGAGGATTTGACCAATTAATACACGTAAAGCATCAGCAGAGGCCCTGACACATATTAATTACTCAACAAATGTTAGTAAAGCATTCTGACACACTGTAGGTGCTTGTAAGCTATTTTCTTTCCTCTTTAAAGAATTATAGCTTGGCTGGATGTGGGGATCAAGTAATCCCAGCTAGGAGGAGGCTGAGGCAGGAGAATCGCAAGTTTGAGACCAGCCTGGGCAACTTAGCAAGACCCTATCTCAAAATAAAATGGAAAGGAAAAAAAGAAAGGGGGGGTTTGGGAAGTAGCTCAGTGGTGAGCACTTGCTTAGTATGAGAGAGGACCTGGGTTCAAATCCCAGTACTGGGGGAAAAAGAAGAATTAAAAAGGTCACTATTTTCCATTTATTGTTTATTGAATGAGTGCATTTGCTGGTGGGGTGGAAGAAAGTGTTACGGTTGCTTCAGTCTCTGGATTCCTAACTGGTGCACAGTTAAGGTCTGGCTTTGTGGGACTGGCTCAAATTTCAGAGTCCGGCTTTGTTGTTTTGTTTTGCTTTGTTTGTGTTTTGTTTTATTTTGTTTTGAGTCAAAGTCTTGCTATGTAGCCCAGGTTGGCCCTAAACTCCCAGCAATCTTCCTGCCTCAGCCTCTCCACTGCTGGGATCACAGGTGTGCGCCACCACACACAGCTTGGTCATTGTTAATTGTTCTCATCATATCATAAAAATCCATAGTTTACAACCAGTGCCTGATGAGAGAGGTGAGTTCAAACACCCAGGGACAGGTCTTTCGCACTCCTACTCCCCGGTTTGGAATCATTTAATTCCATCCTCACAATTGTCCAGCGAGATAAAGAAGCACATCTCTGTGTTTGACAGACAGGGAAACTGAGGCCCGGGTAGAGCAGGGAAGTGTCCACAATCATAGCTAGCACTTCCTGGAGTGTCGCACACCTTCCCCTCTCCGGTCACAGTTGGCCTGACTGAGTCCCTGAGGCAAGGTCTGTGGTTTTTCACCAGCTGATTAAATACAGGCAGAGGACTAGCCCAGCACGTCCCAGCACTCAGGAGGCTGAGGCAGAAGGACCGCTGCGAGTTCCAGGCCAGCCTGGGCTACACAGTGAGTTCAAGGACAGCCTGGACTGCATAACAAAACCCTGTATCAATAAACTAACCCAAACCAAAAAACAGAGAAGAAACAACAAAATAAACATAGGTGAAGGGACTGGATCATGTAGTCTGAGGGCAAGGCCACTAGCATCAGCTGTCCATCAACGCCCGGGGTGGGCGGTACCAGGCCGCCAGGAGTCTGGGGAAGCAAGTTTCTGCCAGCACCTGTGATTCCAACATAAACTTTTTGGGCCACCTCCCCCCATCCGCAGCCAGCCAGGCCAGCTGTGTGGACTGCGCCCAGCTCAGAGCTGCAGAGCCGAGCCGGCCCAGCGGGGGGCGCTTCCTCCGCCGCGGCCCCGGGGTCTCTGCAAGGCCTGCCGTGCGGCTGCGCGGCTCGCGGGAGGGAGGGTGAGTCAGTGCAACGTCCTCCAGCAGCCGCGTCTCACGCGATGATAAGAATGTGCCAAGCCCCTTCCCCGGGCCCTGGGAGAGGAGAGACCCTCCCGCCCCCGCTGGGTCCCTGGAGACCAGGTTCTCGGGGAGGGACGCCTCCGGGAGCGCCCATGGGAACCTGCTAGGGAGCTCGGCGGCCCTGCTGTGGGGAGCAGCCCCCGCCCCACCTGCTGGAAACGGCAGCCAAAGCCCAGCAGGACGAAGCTTCCAGAGCGGCCGGGCCAGGGGAAGGGGAGGGCGGCCAAGGGGCAGCGGTGGGGGCGGAGCCACTGGACGCTCGGGTCCCCCTGCTCGGAGCTTTCTGGGGCTCTGTGGATGGTGGGCTCGTCCCTCGCGGGGGTGCCGCCCTCAGGTCACCGCTCAGGGCGCTTTGTCCCAGCTTCCATCTGGTGGCTGTCCTCTAGCAGCTCAGCAATTCTAGCATAGAGGCAGAAAGGACCTGAGAAAGTTCATGGTCCATTTGCTAAAAGTGAGGTCCAGAGAGGGAAGCTACCCACCCAGGGTCACACAGCGAGCCAGGGATGTTGAGGGCAGGGTTCCCTGAAGCTCCGGGGTGGTCCCCACTTCTCCCATGGCACCCACCTCCCTCATCCTTGGACAGCCCCCTCCAGACGCTTCGGACCTCCCCAGCTCCAGCCTGGGCCCTTGTTCCCGCCCTCATCCTCATTCCAGCGCACGCTGAGGGTTCAGTGTTAGATTATCCGATGGCGAGTGGGAGGGGAAGTGGGGAGCCAGCAGCTAGGAGTCCAAGAACGGCAGAGGGTCGTGAGTCGACGTTGTGAGGGGTCAGGGCTGTTCTAGGGAGAGCCTTCTACGGGGGTGCCTTTCCAGACAACGGGGTGGGAAGCCAGAGAAGGAAACATTATGATTTGTTTCCCTCCTCGTTAAAGATTTTTTCCTACAGAATTGCCAATATAAGCTTCCCGGCTGCCACGCGCAGCCGGCGGCGGCTCCACTCGCTTGGAGGCGAGGTCCCCAGCTCCAGGTTCGCTGACCTGCACGCGCCCACTGCGGATTGAACCCCAGAGCATCCGCCCGCTCTTTATACGTGAGAGGGTCATCCGGGTCCTGCCAGGCGGGTGCAACACGCGACCGGTTAACCCGGGAGTGCTCGGGACCGCCCCCCCCCGAAATCCCCCTTGCTCATTGGTCATTGCTCACTGCTCTTGGCCAATGGGAGGAGGCTGTGAGCCACCGCCCTCGGAGGGCGCAGGAGGAAGGTCCCAGCCTTCGCAGCCAAGGCGCGGGGTGGGGGATCGGGTCTCCTGGGTCCCGCCTGCTGCCCTTCCGCGTGGGGGCAGAGGTTGAAACCGCAGGCTCCCACGGTGCCCTAAACTCTAATCAGTAGCACGGCCCCGCCCCCTGCCCGGCGAGGCAGGGCAAATGGAGGAGGGATTCTGACTCGGAACCCCGCTAGCGGGGCGCGTCGGCCCGGGCTCTCCAGCCCCCTCGCCGCTCTTCCTACCGACCCTCCTTCAAGAACCCACTAGGGGCGCACTCCTGGGGCAGGGGGTCTGTCTCTGCGGAAGAGGGGACCTCGCTGGGGCGGTGATGAGACTGCCCTGGTTCCTCCCCGTCCCCCACCCCCAAGCCCACCACTAGGGTCCGTGCCAGGGCAAGGCTCTGGGGACCCCACTGCCTGCTGGGATGTCGGGGAGAAGAGTCCCCCACCTGAAGCAGCCCCAATGCGCCCCCTTCCGTAGGCCCCCAGCTTCTCGGCGCCCGCACCCCATCCCTGGCTTCTGAACCCCCCACTACCCCGCTCAGGCTGATTCAGTCTGCGCTAGGGAAAGGAGGGAGGATACCAGCTTGGGTCTGGGCTGAGCTGTGGGATACGGGGTGGGGGGAATCCCGAGCCCGAACATTCCTTCCGAGAGACAGCCCTGGGGAAAGATGGGGGGAGAAGCCTCTCACATTACCCTCTCTTGCCCCCGCAGGCCGGGCGCACAGACAGCCCCTCCCCAAACACACGGACCCGCACATTCCCGGATGGTTACTGGCCTCGTGGTCACTTGAAGATTGCTCCCATTTCAAGCTGCAGGGCCACCAGTCTGAGTCACTGCTGTGTCCAGTGTATGTGTGCGCGCGTGTGTGTGTGTGAGGGGGGGGCAAGTCAGCAGGGAGAGGAGATGGCCGTGGGTCCTCAGTTGTCCTCAGATCTCCCTTCCTTCTGCAGATGACCATCCAGAGACCAGGACTTGACTTCGAGTTAGACTCTAAGACTCTTGGCAAAGAGGAGGCAGCCCTGGACTGAAGACTCAGGAGGCCCCAGCTCAATGTCTCGGCAGGGTCAAGTGGAGTCGCCTCTCTAGGTCCCAGTTCTCATTGGTTATAGTTGTGTCCTTCCCTAAGTAGGGCGGCAGGAGCAGATGGAGTGAATTAGTCCTCTGAGAATGCGGTCCTGGCCTCTCTGGGCTGCCAGCCCTCTCCTGCCTTCTAGGGTTGGCGGGGTGCATCCTTCTAACCCTGGCCTTGCTCTCATCCCCTGCTCCACAGGCCCTGGGAAGGTGGCCGCTGAGGCTCTGTATTTGCCCTCTGCTGCACTGCTCACCACACAGCCCAAGCCCACATAGGCGGAGAAGTGTGTGTGTGTGTGTGTGTGTGTGTGTATACATATGTACATGCAACAGATATGGGTTGGGAGGCTCTGCTTACACAGGAATCTTGGGTGTCTCACACCGCCCAATGGAAGACCCACCCAGCTAGGGATGAGTTTAGTTCATCTCACATACAGCCTTGCGCGAACGCTCTCACACGCACACACACCAGGTGGACAATGTCCGGCACGAGCACAAACCCAGCCATGACATCAGATGCAATCAAATGGACGCCGATTGGAATATGCATACTTGGCTGGTGGTTTGGCCTGCTAGAGGCCCCCAGTCCCCTCCCCAGCACTGCAAATAACAAACAGATCCCAAACATGACAAATACGCACGCTCACACACATGTGTGGCCATCCCAGACCCACTCATGCAGACACCATCCAGGTCCCAGTTTCACACAAACACACGCGACATCTCGCACGATCGCACAACTAAACCCTGACTGGGCCAAGCCACTGCCTAGATCTGAGTCACGCGTGCTACGGCAAAAAAGATTTGGGATCCCTGGCTTGCCCAGGGCTGGGACTGGAGGAGGGGGTGGGAAGGAGACTGAGCTCTCTGCCTGCCTGCACTGGGAAGGGGAAAGGTGCAGGATGGCTGGCACTGCCAGGGGCTGCTTTCTGCAGAGCAGGTGCTGGGGAGGCCGTGTACCCTCTGCAGCCCTAGACCAGCAGTCTAGGCCTTGCATTCCCCTCCTCACACTGACAAGTCCATCCTGGTCCCCCAGGTTGCCTGCCAAGCCCTGGCATCTTCTGACCAGGCGGCCCCTGTGCTGTGGCCCAACCTTAGAGGTAGGCGCCAGGCTCTGTCTGGGCAGGAGGAAGTGATGGCAGCGAATGCTGCCGCCCAGGGCTGGTATTAGCTGTGACTGGCATCCCCAAGGGCATGGCAGCCCATGATTTTGGCTGCTGGAGACACTGGCCCATACACAGCGGCCAGAGGATCCCTGCGGGACAGCTCAGGACACTGGAAACCGAGCACCAGCCACATTTGTTTATCGATCATCCGTACAGTCACACCGTACTTACTGAGCACCTACTATGTGCCCAGCTCTGTGAGTACGGAGATGAACAGGCCTGATTCCTGCTCTCATCTATGAAGAGAAGTCCATGAGTTGAAGTCTGATCCCTCTTCAGAGTTAGATCAAAAAGATCGAAACCAAGTATAATGGTTTGTAATGTCTATAATCCCAGCACTTATGAGGCTGAGGCAGGAGGACTGCTATGAGTTCAAAGCTAGCCTGAGCTACATAATGAGACTTTGTCTTAAAAGCACCCCGTGGTGCGGGAGCACCATGGGGAAAAAAGAAAGAGCTAAAGCCCCAAAATGACTATATAATTGTCAGCTCAATGACAATGACTCCCTGTTGCCCTGAGGATAGAGTCCAAATTCCTTAGAGTAACTTGAAATGATCCACTCTTTTTGCCTCTGCCCTGCTATACCTAATTCTGACCCATATCTCTGAAGTGTAGCAAGCTTGGAAGTCTCAGATGTTTGCTGACTGACTGTCTGACTGCGTGGGTGAATGGTGGAACTTCAGCGAGCAAATGGCCTGAGGTGCTCGCTTGTGCCTCAGAGCTCCAGGAATGACTGTCCTGGATCCTGCACCCTTGGCAGCTTCTCCTGCCCCAGGCAGAGTTTCTATTTGCCCAGCCTCCTTCCCTTGATTCCTCCCTGATGGGGCCTCCTGTACCCATTCTCTGGGTTGTTCATGCCTGAGGCCCTCTTACTCTGAAGCCCCAGGTAGACCAGTTACCTGGGGAGTACAGCCTCCGCTCAGTGCTAGAGGAGCTGCCTGGGGCTCAGGCCAGGCCCAAGGGTCCAGCAGGGCCCAGTGGCCAACCAGGCGGAGCTGCCTTGTGGCTTGGGCCAGCTGGAAGGCGGTCCCGGCTGGAGCCCACGGCGGCCCTGGCTAGGATCCTCGGCCGCTCCCTCTGCTCGGTGCGCTCAGCATTGGGCCTCTGCCTTCCTCAGGTCCCAGTCTGTCTGAGTTATACTCAGGGTTTATTTTTGGGAGAGGTGGTACAGTATACGCTCCTCTTTACTCCCTTCCTGCAGGGAAGGTGCAGGACTCTTGGGCTCGGCTGGGGATCAGGCTGTGACCCTGACCCCTGGGGTTGGGACCTCCAAGGACTCCTGCCCCACCCCATGCTCCAAAGCCAGCTCTCCCACCTCTCTGCTGCACCCAGTGTGCGATCAGTGCCTCCCCAGTCCTTTCCATCTTGAAATTTCAGAGCACTGCTAGGTCTTCCCTATCCCTACAGAGACACAATACAGCTCAATGGTTACACTCAGGGGAGGCCCCAGACCTGGCTGTAGCCTGGCTCTGCCACGTGCTGGGTAACCTTGGGCGGATGACTTAACCTCTATGACCCTCAGCCTCTGCGACAACACGGGCTGCTTCCATCCACCCGACCATGCTGCCATGGGTAAAGGGCTCTGAAGAATGTAGGGTTGCATCAGCTGTTTCTACTATATTTGTGCTTTTTGTTTTGTTTTTTTGAGACAGGCTCTCACTATGCAGTTTAGGCTGAACTTGAACTCACTCTGTAGCCCAGGCTGGCCTCAAACTTGAAGTAATCCTCCTGCCTCAGTCTCCCGGGTTCAGGGATTACAGGCGTGCGCCATCACGCCCAGTCAGCTGTTTCCATTATAACCAATGAAGAAAATCGGGGCCTGGCAGACTTGTCTCGGAGCCCATACAGCTCAGAGGAAGAAGCCCTTTCCCAAGCATTCATTTCTTTATCTCCCTTCCAAAGAGGAGGAGGGAGGGGCTAGCAATAGCCCGAAGAATTTTCTTTATTATTGTTATTATTATTATTTTGGTTTTGTGAGATAGGGTCTCACTGTGTAGTTCAGGCTGGCCTCAAACTCTAAGTAAGCCTCATGCCTCAGCCTCCCAAGTGCAGGGATTACAGGTGTGTACCACCACACCTGGTTTAGTGCAAAGAATTTTCCTGAGTCATTCAATAGGCAAGTCCTGAGTCTTTCTGGTGGCCTCCTCCCTCTCTGCCTAGGCCCAGCTTCGGGTGGCAGGGAGGCCCTTCCTCCATGCTTGTGGGACTGTCTCGCTCACTCAAGGTGAGGGGCCCAGGGAGGTGGCCCCAGCCCCCAGCCCCATGGTGGACCAGGCCGGTGGGACTGTGAGAGGGGGGAGGGCTGGGTCCTGACATCACAGAGTGGAAAAGCTAAAGCCACAGCCACTCGGGCCAGCTGGGGCCTTTCCAGCGTCCAGATGTCTCCGGAATGTGCTGAGCTGGGAACTACCTCGCTCCTTCCCCACCGCCCCCAACCCCTCACCCTCATCTGCCTGCTCCCGCTCGGCCTCCGCCCCACCCCCTGCCCTGCCTCCCTCCTCCTTCCTGGGAGGGTCCGGTGTCCACTGCCCTGGTCCCTTGCCGCCGTCCAGCTCCCTCTCGCTGCTCTGAATGGACTGTGAGCGGGGAGTCACTCCGCTCGCTCCGCGGCCCCCTTGGGCGGGCGGCTCGGGCTGACCATGCGACCCCAAGGGGGGCAGTGGGCGCCGCTAACTGGGAGGGGAGAGTTCTGAGCCAACCGCACGCCAGATCCCAAATGTGGAACTGATTTGCAGCCCTGGAGAGAAGGGGTGAAGGCTTTGGGGCTGCAGAGGGCAGGGCTGGGCCTGCGCTCTGGGAGGGTTTGTGAGGGACTCCGGGCACTTTGTCCCGGCTGAGCAGGGTCAGCAGGGGCGCGCTTTGGGCTGAGATGTAGTGCAGAGTAGAACACTTGCTCAGCATGCGCAGGGCCCGGGGTTCGAGCCCAAGTACTGCAAAATCACAGACAAAAGCTACTGGGGGGCGGGCAGGGGAGCCCCGTTAGCAGCCTGGGATTGGACCAGACGCAGCACATGGCTCAGGCTGCAGAGTGCAGCCCCGAAGAGGGACAGCCTGGCCCCCTGTAAGGGCGGAGTTGCCTTGGCTCCTAGGCCAGCCTGGCCCTGAATGCTGGGCTGGAAGACGGGAAGGGAGCGAGTAATCTGGGCTGGTATGAGTGTCCCATCCCCACACACAGTGATAGGAGGTCAGAGGACAGAAGGGACCTAGGCTCAGATGCTGCCTCAGGACAGGTCCTATTTCTCTCTCCCCAGGGGCAGGGCCTTGGTCAGCCAGACAGCTGAGCTCCCCCAGTAAACTCTAGGCCTCAAAGGAACTGGGCATTACCACCTCATCCAGCCCAGAACCATCCATGTCTCCCTATTGCCTGCTGAAATACCTCCCGCTCTCTAGCGGGGTATGCAAGGTAAACAAATCCCAACTTACCCTGACACTAGAGCCCCTCATCTCCACCCTCCAGCCTAGTGGGACTGAAGCCCCCAGCTCTGTACTGGGGCAGGGCCTTTGCTTATGTTGCTCCCTGTGCCTGGAATGCCTTTGCCTTTCACTTCTTCAGTCCAATTCTTCTCATTCTGTAAGGCTCCGCTCACATGCTGCCTCTTCCAGGGTCCAGGACACATTTCATCCTTGAACCCTCTGCAGGTCTCATGCAGGGCCCAGCATTTACTATGTCTAATAGTAATGATACATGGGGCATTGTGGCACACACCTGTAATCTCAGTATTCAGGAGGCCGAGGCAGGAAGATTGCTCTGAGTTCAAGGCTAGCCTGGGCTACACAGTGAGTTCAATGCCAGCCTGAACCACATAGTGAGACCCTGTCTCAAGTAAAACAAAACAAGACATAATAATGATGATAGCTAATAGTTATGTGTCAGGCCTTGCTCTAATCTTGCATGTACCATCTCAGTTAAGCTTCAAAAGATAAAGCAGCTCCTGTCCGTGCACTCAGTTTACGGAGAAGGAAGAAGGGACATAGAGAGGTTAAAAGCTTCTCCAGCTTTATCCATTAGCACATGGAGCCACATTTGAATCCTGGCTCTGATTATACAGCCTGTGTGCTTTGTTTTTTGGTTTCTTGAGACATGATCTTACTATGTTGCCCAGGCTGGTTTCTATCTCCTGAGCTCAAGTGATCCTCCTGCCTCGGCCTCCTCAGCGCTAGGATTATACTACCATACCCAGCTCTCACAGTTTGCATTCTTAAGCACCCAAGACAACACTGTTGGTGAAGAAATGATCCTGCTGTCACCCTCTCAGGACACAGCGCAGGGCCAGGTACAAGCCATGGCCCTACTCTATGCAGGGATCCACACGACCCAGGAACACAGAACTCCGAAAGGGGCCTGGAGCTTTTGAGTTTCCCTCGAGCAAAGCTTTCCTTCTGCAGAGTGGTCAGAGAGGCAGAGAGGTAAGGCCCTGCGATTGGGCTCAGCATGGGCTGGGAGATGGGATACTCGCATGCTGGGGACTGTCCTTGTCCACTGAGAGCAGGGGGCTAGACCCTCTGCCACCATCTCTGATCGCATCTGCACGAGGACCCTTGTTTTACTTGGGTAGGTTTTCCATACTGGCAGGAATACACTCAGTCTGGAGTTACCCACCCAGGCCCACACA